TCTTAGTGTTATATGATGCAAAACTAATTTTTTAACATGCTCAGTGCAAATTAAATCAGTTATAAATGTTCGCGTTTAAAAAATGTCCGCCACAAAGAGGAGCAGACGACCTCCAAAAAGATTTGTAGAATTGAACGATGATCCACCAAAATGTAGTACAAAACCCAAACCTGATAAAGATCTCGTACTTAAAATACTACCATTAGAATACACACCTTTAAAGACAATGTATTTCAATATTCTAAATGCTGGATCGCAAAATGAGGAAGTCTTAGCAAATTCAGATAACATAACAAAATGAGTGAGGGCTCCAAAACTGTGGAAACCATCACCATTGTTGATATAAATGAAATTAAAAACAGAGGTAGTAGAAAGAGAACGTTAAAGACTAATACAAATGATGGTACAAAAGTTTCCACACCAAGAAATATATCGTCAACAGAAAAAATTAGACCAAAAGCGGTCAAAACCAGGATAATAACACCATCGGAATCTAATTATAAGTCTGATACAAACCTAAAGAGCCCAATAACACAAAACACTGGACCTATAAAAATAGCTAATGTGCGGACCATAACAACAGATGATATCCAATCCATGTATAAAAAAGGTAGTGACATAACAAAATCAGTAACAATTACTCCAGTAGTATCCAGTACACAAAACACCAATAAAACTAGTTCCATTACCACTCCAAATAGAAAGTTATTAACTACAAAAGACAGCCCGGTGACTGCTATTGTACTAAAGACAAAACCCATAATTCGTCCGGTGTGTAGTGAGAAGCTAGGTTTAAAACCGTTGAACATAACTGAACCAATAGTAATAGACGATGATGAAATTGTGAGTAAAGACAACCCGGTGAGTGATAAAAATGGAACAGTAGGCAAAGATTCACAACCAGAAACCAATAAACAACCACAATCAATTCATTTAGGGCAGTCGGTTATAACAATGATGAAAATGGGTCTGTGCGTGTTGAAATATCAGAAACCAATGTGCAAAATGATAAACCTGGTGCTACAGTAAATAATAGTTCAAAAGTAACCAATGACAGCAGTTCAAAAGTAACTAATGACAGCAGTTCAAAAGTAACTAATGAGAGCAGTTCAAAAGTAACTAATGAGAGCAGTTCAAAAGTAACTAATGACAGCAGTTCAGACAAAGTTAGCAAAAAGCTTGATGAAAATGAGTCTATTGTTATAGATGATGAAGACGATGAGCCAATAATACAAAATAAAGATGCAAATAAAGATAAACTGACATCAGAGTCCATTATCTCACCTGTGAAACGGATCAAGGGTGTGAAAAAAAGGTAGAATAGTGTTAAATAAAAATAAGTTTATGCAAGCTGATAAAAACGGTGAAATCGTTATAGGTAACAGAAGATTTATCATCACCGGTAGAAGAGAGCCGATAAAATTAGATAAAGGTGGACTGGTGAACAGAATGATTGCAAAAATTAAACCTGTGTTGCAAAAAGAACCGGAAGTCCAACCGGTTGTAACAGATCTGAGTGCAAAATATGATAAAAGATTCTTCTCGTCTTATGTGAACTTGAAGATGATAAATTTTAATCAGTATGACAAAATTAGTGACGCAACGTACAAGTTGAAGAGGGAGAAAAGAGTGAATTTTGCTAGTGATACTTTGGTTGTTCCAAGGACCCCAAAAAGGAAGCTTGATGTTGACGAAACGGTGTCACCGAAAAGAAAAAAACAAGATCCGCCACAATTAGAGGATGTTATAGAACCAGAAGCGCATGTTATAGAACCAGTAACAAATCCTCTTATCCCTGATTCGACTTCCAAACTCTACGGTTTGATTCTAGAGAAGCAACAAAACAATGACTTCACAGATCCCTTTGAGGCCCCACGCAAGAACTTTCCGTTTGAGAGTGTTGCTTATCGAATAAGCAAAATGAAGAATGGAATTAAAATGCCTTCGCACCAGTGGTGTTGCTCCCTACGCCACAACATAGTCACAGCAAAGCCCAGCACAAACAGAGCCATTGGTAGCTTCCAATTAGGAGGCAGAGAAACCATCATGTACTACGACGAGAGTGACATCATTAAATACGTCAGTACATTTTCTGAAATAATTAAAATGTCCAGCTTCAGTTTCAAACGTTACAAACTGGTATACGCAAATGAAAGTGTCTCATCAGAAGTAGATAGAAAAGTTACAATTTTTAAAAATGGTGATTATACAATTAGTATGGATGGCATTTCGATAAGACTCTGTGCAGCGCCTTTGAAAGTGAGGGATGTGAAAGATATCGAAATTCTTTTAGATATTATTGATCATATTAATTTGAAACATGATTTAATCATAGCATAGTTATATTAATAGACATAGAATTGTATTTTACACAATTTGTTTGTATCGGTTTTACAAAATATATTGATTATTGTTTTATGAAGATTTTATTTCAGAATTTTATTTTAAATAGTTGGTATTGGTATTTAGCCTTGAGGCAAGTTACATGAACATACCGATATGTGTAAAAAATCGACTTAATGAATAATAAACAAATTAATTTATGAGTGATTAGAAGTATTCCGAGTGGATTTATTATACATAATTGAAAACGAACGAACACGTTAATCGGAGTATTTTCTAAAAGCAAATTTTCACAAATCAATAATTTTTATAATTGAACCAATTTTCGTAGGACGTTAATCGTTTAGTATGTTCATTAAGACCAAGTAATCTATCGTTATATACCAAGTAAATCATCTAATTTTAATTTTAGCAAACGCCAACAGAACTACTTATTTTCTCAAACTTTGATGAATTTTTAAAATTAAACCTCTTGTCGTAGGCCGTAATATTTCAGTAAGACCATGATATACATCGCCAAATTACAAGTTAATTACAAGAAAACGGCTCGGTAGATTTTCACCTAAAACTAATCAGTATCATTCCCAAATAATATCTTTCGAACAGTTTTTGGTTTTTTAAAATCGATTCGGTAGAATAAGCTTAAACGTGGGTGAAAAGTTTAACACTCTTTTTTAAATTGCAAAGGAACGGTTCGGCCGATCGTCGTACAAAACTGAGAAACGATAATCCTCATCGAGATACATCAAATGCTTTTTAAATATCTGAAATCGGTTCAGGCGTTTTTGAGCAAACGTCGATCAAAGTTCTAATTTTGACAAATGCCAAAAGAACGATACCAATTTTTGCAAACTTTGACGAATTTTTAAAGCTAAACGAGTTGTCGTAGGGTCGTAATATTTTAGTATGATCTAGAAGACTATGGTATCTACCGTCAAAAAAATAATTATAAAAATCGACAAAAAAAAAACTTTTAACACCTTATTACAAGAAAACGGCCCAGCCGATCTCTACCAAAAACTAATCAGCACGATTCCCAACCAATATCTTTCGAACGGTTTTTGAATTTTCAAAATCGATTCAGAAATGCGGGCCGATCGTGGCACAAAACTCAGAAACGCTAGTCTTCATCGAGATACATCGAATGGCTTTTAAATTTTTGAAATCGGTCGAACCGTTTCTGAGAAAACGTCGATTTACGGCAAAAAATCTGTTCACATACACGCACGCACACACACACATACTTTTTCCAAATTTGGTCTCATTGGATTCAGGATGGCTTGAAACGTCGAGAAAACATAAAATTAGCGAGTCGGATTTTTTGATGAAAACATAAACTTCTCCTTCGGAAAGTTAATAAGGGATAAATGTTGCAATGTTCATATATGGTCCAGTCATTTAAGCTTGAATTAGGTAAGAATCTCGGAATTCGAGATACCCAGCTGAAAGTCTGTAAATACCCAGTAAACATGCGTATGGCCACAACATCGTGGCAATATTTTATTAGGTGTGTGACATTGCGGTTCCCATATTCATGTCCTCGATATTTAATGGATACGGCCGCAAATTTATGTAACTATCGAACAACTATCGAGGTTCGGTCTCTGGCGCACGTGGCGTTCGTGATACATGAAAATCGACGTTGACCCACATATGTTTGTTTATTATGATAAGACCGTCTGACGTAAGGCGTTCACCCAGTCATGACGTCATTGGCGAATGAAAACGATTCGGTCATGACGTCATACAAAATGGCGACTCATGACGTAATAGCAACCTGAAGTGATGACGTAATGCAATTAATATTCTTTTCTGTACGAATAAGCATTTATTTACGTGAATAATAAGAAATTTTACAATATTTAAATATTACAAAATTAGAATTGTAGTTTTGAAATTATAAAATTTTAACATGAACTATACTAGAAAACTTTTTACAAATATTCAATCTTAACATATTAATAACAGTATAATTTAATAAAATTGTTGTATATCTAATGAACGTAATTCTATTTTTCGGGCGTGAAGTGTGAAGTGTTGCATAAGTATTCTATCGCCACTTCCTTATACATCAAAACAGCCTGCCTTATTTTCATTATTTCATTCTATCGCCAGTTCATTGCATCAAATGCCAGGATACAGATTATGCACATATGACATACTGCCCCAAATTTTGGAAGTTTTCTAAAACAAATTCAAACATAATGTGATTTACTGTATATAATATAATATATATACAGCTACCATATGTGTAGCTACCTACATGTTCAGTGTACAAATCTCCATCATCTTAAAGTCGCTTTTACACATACATTTTTAACACTGACTGATTTCATTCTATCGCCAGTTCATTACATCAAATGCGAATGCGAGGATACAGGATATTCATATATGATGTACTTCTTGGAAGTTTTCTAAAACAATTTGAAACATAATGTGTTTATTGAATCTAATAATATATATACCACTCCATATGTGTAGCAACTTACATATTCAGGAGACAAATCTAAATCGTCTTCGAGTCGCGCTTTTGCACATACATTTTTTTTAACCTGATTGAATCATTATATCTTCAGTTCATATACATCAATACATCAATCAAGTTCAGCATATATGACATACTGTTCCCAATTTTAGAGGTTTTCTAAAACAATTATAAATATAATGTATTTGTACCAAATAATATATATACAGCAACTATATATGAATCAACTTACATATTAAGAAGATAAATCTCCATTATCTTCAAGTTGCTCCTAAACATACATTATTTGAGCCTGTCTAAAGATCTGTATATTGTTCATCGTTTCATTCCAATTTGTACGACTTCTGAAATAATATGAACATGGCATACGTGTTTGTGTTTATATATATTGTATAGCTATTATATTTGTAGTGACTTACATATTCAAACAACAATCATTCTCGATCCGCTTCTCAACCGACTATAATTTAAGAGATTTAAGAAGTGAGGTTATGTCGAACACATGGATATGTTAATGTCTTAATTAGTAAATAATTATTTTAACCTTGATAAACGATCCTTATTATTGTCCTCAGATTTTGTAAGATATGCTATTTGGTTACCTCTTTGTCATCTAAAGAAATCGACATAAAATAACGTTTCTCCATCCCAGGATATAATGCACTAAATGGAATTCAAAATCGTGAAGTAATTACATATCTATTAAATAATATATGATACTTACAGTGTCATTTTTCTACACTTTCTACAATTATCATAAACAAGTTGCTTAACTAACGAATGTAATTATTATACTAAAGAAAATATAACTTGATGCATGATAAATTCGTGACATATTGCGCCATTTTGTAAGCGGTTAGTTTAGCTTTCGTCAAAGAAACAGTCGGTTCCACCAGTGGCCACGGCGCGCTGATGTAAAGCTTTCTTTGTATGGTCACCATAGACCTTATACAATACATGGACTGCTAGTTGAGCGCATAAAAAGTGTCAAAAGATGTTCTATGGTATGAGGGCGTACGAGGGTAATTTTGCGGCCGAGATATGTCAAATACGAACACGAGCTTTACCGAGATTAGTCGAATGCACTCGATCGCTTAAATTTTACAGTTACTTGGGTTCACGTGATGTTTGATCGTTCGGGTTTTTAAACTAAAAAGGGATAAAAATATACCTGTTGTAAAATTGTTAAAAGTAAAATGTCTTCTAAAATGTGTTAGGTAAGGTGCCTGATTGCAGTAAAAACTTTTTTGTTTGTGCTGTTCTGTATGCTTCGCAAGTATTCCGGGAAATTCGAATTGATCGATATAATAATCGAGGATATCTTTCATATCCTTCCGAAGAAATGTTTAATTTATGTTTATATATAGAAAGCCTAATTCAAAATTCTTTAAATTTAATGTACAAAAGTTCATATGAAAGCATGATTCTCTGAAAGTTGAATGACTGGGACTTGCACATTTTTTTAGATCAAGTTATTTCCAGCAATTTGTCCAGCATTATCATGACCTTATCAACTTGTCGCAAAAATTTACTTAACAATTAGAAGCACCATGAAGAAAGAAAGAAAAGCAAAGTTGATAAATATGTACTCCGCTTTCATACGAAAATTGTGCTTTTTAAACACCAATAATAAATATATTACATTTAAACAAATATTTCATTATTGCTTTCTAATTTCCCATAATATCTCTAGCCAACTGTCCTTATTTTCAGTGAATTTTATAATATGTAAAATATTGTTTTAATTTTTTGTTTCTAATTTCCCTTAAACACTTTGTATAACTAAAATAAATAAATTAATAAATAAATAGTTCATTACGTTCATTAGTTCAACATAAATTGTATATTATATAATATTCTGCCAACAATTTCGAACACACGGACTTTCATTTGACGTTTAAGCGATCGAGGGGCGATCGAGTTTGACATATCTCGGCCGCAAAATTACCCTCGTATGCCCTCATACCATAGAACATCTTTTGACACTTTTTTACTTGAGAAATGTATGGGGACTAGCAGTCCATGAAATTGTATAAGGTCTATGAATTTAAGCCACTCCCTCCACATTTTTCGATTGCACTCTTTTTTGCAGGATACACAACCTGTTTTCCCCACTGAAAAAATGCCAAAATGATGTTTCGGCGAACAGGTCATTGTTGTTTTAGCTAATAATTAGCTAAATTAAATAATTAATACGCGCAGCATTTATGTAGTTTTAATAAAACACACGAAAGGAATATGGATATGGAAGATGCAGAGTGTAATTGATTGTGTTGAGGAAGATACATAACTTTTGTTGGTTAGCCAGGATTATTTATAGAATTTAACCATGGCGAAGCCATCGGCACCGAAGAATCCAGTGTTTTTAAAATCGCTAGGTTTACAGGTATTTACTTTTGCAAATTTTATACTTTTTTGTGTACAACCAAATATGTATATGTTTTTGTTTTGTTCAGGCTGCATCACAGAAAGAGGAAAGTTTATATGTACCAGGTTTCAAACGTACTATCAAACAATATATTCCATCAGTACCACCTGATATTAAGCTGCACGAATGTTTGGATTGTGGAGACAAGTAAGTTTAAGGAAAACTTTAACAGTCGTTACAAATTGTGTACCTAACTTTGACAGATGGTAATTTGGTAATGTTTAATGCTCAAAGGTACAAATTTAATATTTATATTTATGTGGTTAATGATTGCCAAAGTTTTAATTGAGTTTTGTATGTTTTGGATTTGATTTTGTTGTTTATTTCAAGGTTATACAAGATTGTAACGGATTTCTCACAAAAATTATAACTAAAATCTCTCACATTACTAACAATCATATATTAAAGTAGTAAGTAGATGTGCCAAGTTTCAAATGTACTATGAAACAATATATACCATCAGTACCACCTGATATTAAACTGCACTGTAAAAGTAAACTGCAATGTAAAAGAGTTTAACAGTCGTTGTATACAAACATAAAATTGTATATGAAAACTTTGACAGATGGTAATTTTTAAATGTTTAATAAATCTAATATTTATATTCATGTACTTGATAAAGGTCAAAGTTTTAATTGGTTTCGGACTTGATTTTGTTGTGTATTTTGAGGTTATACAAGTTTATAATAGATTTTTCACAAAAAAAGTATAACTGAAATCTCTCACATTAATAACAATCATTTATTAAAGTAGTAAGTAGATGTGCCAGGTTTTAAACGTACTATCAAATAATATATTCCATCTGATATTAAGCTAGACGAATGTTTGGATTGTGGAGACTATATATTTTCATTTGTTTCTATTAACCTGATTGACTTTCGTTTGTTTTTCGTGAAGTGATGCAAGTTTGTACTACAATTTACAAGTTTTTTCTTGCATAATACATAACTAAAATCTCTAATCTTACTACTAACTTCTTTCAAGTTTTTTTAATCTAGTGAGTAAATGTTTTAATCGTTAGATAAAAGAAAACTTTGTCATTATATACAAATGCCATATTTGTTGCTCCTAATGTAAAAGAAAACTTTAACAGTCGTTGTATACAAACACCAAATTGTGTATGTAACTTTGACAGATGGTAATTTTAATGTAATGCTCAAAAGTACAAATTTAATATTTTATGTGCATGATAAAGGTAAAAGTTTTAATTTGTTCTGGATTTGATTTTATTGTTTATTTCGAGGTTATACATGATTTTAACAAAAATTATTGATTGATTGATTGATTGATTTATTTATTTATTTAATTCTCAAGACAATAATACAATATAATTACATTTTAAAGCGTACAAATTATAAACTGAAGATCATATGAGATAATTTGATTAGGAGTTCATAGATAGCTTTGTATATATACATAACACTTAATATAAACTGACTAATTATAACTAAAATCTCTCACGTTAATAACAATCATTTTTAAAGCAGTAAGTAGATGTGCCAAGTTTCAAACATACTATCAAATAATATATTCCATCAGTACCGTCTGATATTAATCTGCATGAATGTTTGGATTGTGGAGACAAGTGAGTTTTTAATGTAAAAGAGTTTAACAGTCGTTGTATGCAAACACCAAATTGAATACGTAACTTAAATGGTATACATAACTTATAGATGGTTTTTAATGTAATGCTCAAAACCATTTAAAAATACTTTGCTAAGTACACAAAAGACATATTATTATAAAACTTGAATAAATTTAAATTATGTTGACAAATACCTTACAAAGTTAAGGGCAACGATGAGCACAACTTGATATTTGTATATAATTATAAAGTTCTCTTTCATTTAACAAAGGATTCAAAGAAATTAAACACTAAATTGTATACGTAACTTATAGAGGGTAATTTTAATGTAATGCTCAAAAGTACAAATTTGATATTTATATTTATGTGCTTGATAAAGGTCAAAGTTTTAATTTATTCTGGATTTATTTTTGTTGTTTATATTGGCGATTATACAAGTTTCTACCGGATTTCTCACAAATTTTCTTCTTACAATAGACATAACTAAATTCTGTCATCTTCTGTAATAATTGCTCTGAATCATTTACCAAAGTAGTAAGCAGATGTTTGAATTATGAAATAAAATATAACAGTTATTAAGGTGCTCGTCGATGTACCTAACTGTGACAAATATTTACCACAATAATTGTAATTTGTTCAAGCCCAAAAACTTTATATAGAAAATTTGTCGTTTCATGTCTTTTCTACTTTTATCAAAGTATGTTTTGAGAGCTTTTTTTATTAACAAGTTAGTATCGTTTATATTAAAAGTAGTTCTTTATAACAAAATATATAATGCGTTTCTGCCTTTATAGGGCTAATTTTTTTCAATCCCTGATAACAAATGAAAAAGAACTTTCTCATTATATACAAATACCGTACTTCTTGCTCCTAACTTCGATAGATTTTGTCAATGTAATTTTAATTTCTTTATATGTCCAAATATTAATTTGATAAAGATCAAAGTATTTCTTAAGGGTTCTGGGATTTGTTTTTGTTTCTAATAACAAGATTTAGTTCCGTTTGTACCAGATTTCTTACAAGTTTTTCTTTACAAAAGATATTAAATAATTCTTAGTGTTAACTTTTTTCAAGTTCTTTTTTTAAGTTTATAAATAAATGTTTGAATTTTGTAATAAAAGAAAACATAGTCATTACTTACGATCACCATTTTCATTGCTGTTAAATTAGGCAGACCTTTGCCAATTTTGTTTAAATGTCCAAATTTAATATTTATACTTACAAATTTGATAAGGATCAAAGTACGTTTTAAAGGATTCTGGGATTTGTTTTTCTTGAGGTGATATAAGTTTATTTCTGATAGCTTACAAGTTTATTGAAATTTGTCATCTTATAGCTAATTTCTTTCAATTATTCTTAAGCCAGTAAGTCAATGTTTTGGTCGTAAAATGAAAGAGAGCTTTGTCATTATATGCAAATGCCATATTCGTCAAATTTAATATTTATATTTACATATTTTATATTGATAGTTATTGATGAAAGTATGTTTTGAAGGATTTTGTGATTTGCATTTGTTTCTATTAACAAGATTAGGAAGCAGCGTTTGTTTTTCATAAGGTACAAATTACAAGTTTTTTCTTGCAAAATACATAACTAAAATCTCTAATCTTACTACTAACTTCTTTCAATTTTTTTTTAATCTAGTGAGTAAATGTTTTAATCGTTAAATAAAAGAGAGCTTTGTCATTATATATAAATACCATACTCATTGCTACTAACTTTGGCAGAAGTTTGTCAATGTAATTTTAATTTTGTTTAAATCTACAAATATAATATTTATACTTACATATTTGCTAACAATCAAAGTATGTTTTAAAGGATTTTGTGATTTGCATTTGTTTCTATTAACAAGATTAGGAAGCAACCTTTGTTTTTCATAAGGTTTTCATAAGTTTTTACTACAAATTACAAGTTTTTTCTTACAAAATACATAACTAAAATCTGTAATATTACTGCTAACTTCTTTCGAACTTTTTTATTCTGGTGATTAAATATTTTAATCGTTAAATAAAAGAGAACTTTGCCATTATCTACAAATGCCATATTCGTTGCTCCTAACTTTGGCAGACCTTTGTCAATGTAATTTTAATTTGTTTAAATCTAAAAATATAATATTTATACTTACATTTGTACTAACAATCAGAGTATCTTTTGAAGGATTTTGTGATTTGCATTTGTTTCTATTAACAAGATTGAGTTCCGTCTATTTTTCTTGAAGTAATTTAAATTTATACTTGATTTGTTACAAGTTGTCTCTCACAAAATATGTAACTAAAATCTGTAGCCTTAGTGCTAACTTCTTTCAATCTTTTTTAAACCATTAAGTCAATGTTTTGGTCGTAAAACAAAAGAGAGCTTTGTCATTATATACAAATGCCATACTCGTCAAATTTAATATTTATATTTACATATTTTGTATTGATCAAAGTATGTTTTGAAGGATTCTGTGATTTGCATTTCTATTAACAAGATTGAGTTTCGTTTGTTTTTGTTGAGGTGATACAAGTTTGTACTAGATTTATTACAAGTTTCCTCTTACAAAAGATATAACTAAAATTTATCATCTTAGTGCTAACTCCTTTCAATATTTTTATAAGCTAGTGAGTACATGTTTTAATCACTAAATAGAAGAAAACTTTATTATTACCGTACTCATTGTTGTTCTAACTTTGTGCTGGTTTTATCAATGTAATTTTAACAATGTAACTCATATTTATGTATTTGCTAAAGTTTAAACTATGTTTTATAGTTTATTGGAATATGTTTCTGGTTTAATTAACAAAATTTAGTGGCATTTGTTTCTCTTCAGTAAGTTTGTATTGAATTTTTTTTTCTTCCAAAGGATATAGTTTAAAATATTATTTTATTGTTAATTTCTTTGAATCCTTTGTTAAATGAAAGAGATTGTGATTATATACAAATATCAAGTTATACTCATCGTTGCCCTTAACATCGAAGGTATTTCATAAACATAATTTATTATGTTATATAAGGTATTTGTCAGCATAATTTAAATTTATTCAGGCTTTATAATATCATGTCTATTTATATTCTTAGCAAAGTATTTTTTAAATGGTGTTGCGATTTGTTTTTATTATCAAGATCAAGCAAGATTGAGTTGTATTTGACTTTTTTTTGAAGTGCTACAACATTAAAGTATTTTTTCCTTAAAAAAAAATGTTATTTTCGCGCTAAATATATTCAAATACCAAATTGTACTCATTATAACTTTGATAATATAATTTTAATTTGTTTATGGCCAAAAGCATTAAATATAATATTTATATTTATGTTTTTAGTACTATCCTCAGAGTATAATTATTTATATATGGGATTTATTTTTACTCTTGTTAAGGGGCACACCTAGTGTGACAACCTAAAAAAAGGCCATTTTTTGGAATAAAAAAAAACTAGTGAATCGATCTATTTAAAATTTTGAGGGTATATTTATACATGTTTTGAGAATACACAGTAAAATTTTTGAAATAAAATGTTAAATATTTTTGAAATGACACGCGATTTCCGGCGGCGCTAAAAAAGGTCCTTTTCTGCTGGAGTGATTACATCCTTTTCCGTTAATAAAACCAAAAACTATTTAAGATATCGATTTAAAATTTTTGTATGTTATTTTTAAAGGTATAACCTATCGAAATATAGAAAAATTGAAAATTCGATTTTTTGAAAATTTCACACTAGTTGTGCCCTTTGAGAACAATGTTTGTATTCTTGATTTGCATTTGATAAAAATTCGTACTGAATTTTTTAAAAATAATTTCTTCTCAAAAATATATAATAAATATTCAACATTTTATTGCTAAAATATATAATTTATGTAACTATGTCAATTGTATGTGTGCGAGTGTTTATATAAAAATATCTGTATATTTTTATTTTATCCAGATTTGTTCTCAAGTCTTCCTACGATATGCACGTGAACAGGCACACAGCCACAATAGAACATGTTTGCAAAATATGCCGACAAGCAAATGTCTTTCTCAACCCTTGTCAAGTTTTATCCCATGCAAGAAAACACACAAACTACAGTTTGAATGTAAATCAAGAAAATCTTAATCACATTACAATAACGCCTATAACACAATTGCAGTTCAAGACATCTTGCCTAAAGTTCTATGATAATGATCTGGATCAGGCTATGGAAGACTTTACGGGGGTGCGATTGACACCAAGTAGTAGTAGTAGTAGTAGTAGTTTGCAACAACCAGCAATTAATGTACCAGATTTGCAACAGCCACCTCAAGGACTTTTGATTTTACCCAACCAGAATGGTGTGCCGAATTTAATTAATCCGTTTTCTAATCATAATTTCATTCTGACTGATAATGGTCTGGTGGCTGTGCCTAATGTAGCGCCTAATTTGAGTCCATTCCAAATACAAGCACCAATTGCACCAGTGCAAGAACCGGTTAACACTAATCCTGCACCACCTCAGAAAGTTGAGATTAAGGAAAATATGAATGGGGGTTCAAAATCCTTGCTTAAAACACAAAAGAAAGTGGCTGAAATCAAAACTGCATCACCAGCAAGACAAGAATCATCTGCCACATCGACTCCTGAGCCTGCAAGAAAACCTACAGTTAAAATAAAAGACATAGGGTCTTTACTAAAACCTTCAGTGACTTCCAATTTGCAACAAGTCAAGACCGGACCTAGTCCAGTTGTTGCATGGGCCACAACCGGTGATAGAATTTGCATGGAATGTAATAACTATGTTAAACCGTCTTTGTCTCTAAAAGAACATTATTCAACATTGATTGGAATGTCCATACCGCCTACTTGTAAAATTTGCCAGATTCAATTACCGAGCAAGTGTGCTTTATCTTGTCATATGCGTGTGCATTCAGAACAACCGCCTTTTATTTGTCCAGATTGTGTACTCAAATTCCCAACGTACGGCCAATTGTTTGAACACATGACTAAAGTCTGTTTTCACCTTGATAAGCGTGTTAGGCAAAAATGTCCGGTTGAGAATTGCAAAGCCAAAGTTTTTCCCAATGTTGTGGCATATAAAAAGCATTTAGTAACATTACACACCAGGTCGATATTTAAATGCAACTTGTGCCCGATAGCTTGTTACACAGAAATTTCTTTAAATACTCATATGAATGAAAAGCATTTTGGTTGTTCGGAGACTGCCAGTCCGTACCACCAGTGCTCGTTGTGTCCGGATAGACTAATTCCTAAATCTAGGTTTGAACAACACATTGAAGAACATGTACAAACTGCTCCGAAAATGAATATGTATTTGTGTAAACACTGTAACAAATTCAATATGATGAGAAATAATCATGTTGTGCATATTGCAAATTGTCAAGGCCAAAAAACTGTTAAGAGACCTCAAGCGGAAGACAGCATCAGCATAGGTGGTGATGCGAAAAAAATTAAACTGGGCGAAGTTAAAGCACCAGCACCTGTACCAACACCTGCTCCAACTCCGACATCAACTCCAACACCAGCACCGGACAAATGTGTGATTAAATTGAATGTATCGAAAGCAGATGCTTTGAGGTCTGAAGCCAGTCCAAAAGTAGTCCTTACACCTTTACTTAACGGGGTAAAAAAGACAGTAAAAACTAATTGTTTTGATTGCAAACGTGAACTAAGTTGCACATTTACTGGAGAACATGAACGACAACTACCTATCAGATGTCCACAATGTTACAAAACCACTTCGAAGCAGCAAATGAATAAACTGCCGTGTCCTGCTTTGGTTAAAATCGACACCAAAGTACCTAACAAGGATAAAAAGTTGGTAAAACCTGAAAGCAAACCTGTGGACAGAAAGTTGATTGAAGTTGATGTTGAGGAGGTGCGTCCTAAAAAAATTGTGGAGCTGGACGTTGAACGAATGAGTGAATACACTTGGACTGTCAAGAATAAAGTGCAAAGTCTATTAAAGGATAATGGAGATAAACAAAATGATGTAACTGTGATAAAACTGGAGAAACCTAATGGCAACAAAGGTTTGTCAATATTACCAAGTAGTATAAAGATAATACCCAGAAAATCTTTGGACAAGGAAACAAAACCTGATAAAACTGACCTGACAAACACTGTCGGACCTCCTAGACCAGATACACCTTCACAAGACATACCCAAACCTGATGAAACAAAAGACTTGGCAGATACCGATGATGACAAAATGATAATTGATGAAACCAAGCAATCTGAAACTGAACAAACCAGTACAAGTCCTTTACCTCTATCCCCCGACTCAGAAGACTCCACCTCCAAAGACTTCCTATGCGCAGTGTGCCAATTCACCACCCAAGACCGTGACCAGTTCAAATTCCATGTAGCAACTCACCGAGACGTGGACACAGCCTACCAGTGCATGGAGTGCGGTCTAAGTTTTGCAGTCAAACCCACTCTGGCTAAACATTTGGCAATGAAGCATCTGATAGAGGACATCGATAACTACATTGCCTGCAACACGGATTGTGTGGACAAGGAAGCGGTGAGAGCTGCCTTGGCAAGTGTTATTGTGGGTACGACTGTGGAGGACGTTGTGGAAAATCAGTGCAAGATTTGTAAGGAGAAGTTTGAGACGGCTGCTGACCATGATAAGCATTTTAGGGTGCACGGTATGGCTTTTTTGAAACAGAAGGAATTTGATAAAATTACTTCGGAGAGTTAAATGAGATATGTTTAGTGATTGACAAATAATAATTGAATGATGATGTTAGACGAAACTATTGAAAGTGGAGTTTAGTTTATATACAATTATGTGCAACAGTGATTAATGAATTCATTTATAATATATATATATAATATTTATCTATATACGTAACACATTCTTTATATAAATTAAAATAAAATTTAAGTTTTACAATGGATATGAATCAGATATTTTTACTTTGTGATATCGATTTACAAGTGTATATATATATATATATATATATATATATATATATATATATATATATTTCAAAGTAACTAGCAGCCCATTCGTCAAAATAAAAAAGGTATAAAGTATTAAAAACTTTTATTTATACGTTTCGACACAAGATGCGTGTCATCATTCATAATGCGTTTCATGCGTCATAATGTTACATTTCAAAACTTTTAGTCAAATTAGTTTTCAAATCTTTTAGTTATTCATTTTTTTTCCAAGAAAAAAAAAAATGTTTTTTTCTAATGTTACAAGTTTAATTTTTTTAAAATAAATTTTCTGAGTGTTTTTGTCCTGTGGTGTGTATAATGGTTCTCTATGTTATAATTAATCTATATTGGTGTTATATTAGTAAATAAAATTTTCAAATTGTTGTAGTTGCTGAATGATGACACGCATCTTGTGTCGAAACGTATAAATAAAAGTTTTTAATACTTTATACCTTTTTTATTTCGAGGAATGGGCTGCTAGTTACTTTGAAATATGTTTCAACGTCGAAAAAGCTACCAAGATATATATATATATATATATATATATATATATATATATGTAGAGCTTCGAACAAAAAATCCAAAAAGTAATAAAAAGCAAAAAAGTTTTTTTAAAAACCATTTCTTTATTTATTTACTGTCGACGTTTCGGAACTAGGTACGTTCCATCTTCAGGACATAAGCCAAGAAATATGATCTTGATAAGATTTAAACAAACAATATGTTTAAGAACAGCAGATGGATTTTTTTTATATAAAATGAATAAAATTGTGGAAAAATTAATGTACAGAAATATGACAATATAATCAAAATGAAAATGATAAAAATAAATGAGTGGATTATATAACAAAATATTAGAAATGTTGATCTTTAAATTATAAAGAAATTTTGAATTACAAGATTTGTTTCTTCGTCTGAAAAGTAATTTATAAAATCACTTTTTTTTGATAAAATTCAGTGAAAACGTGTTGGTTTATAATCAATTATACAGCTAATTAATTCTGTTTTTTCAGTAACCTTTTCTTAAAACTTTCTAATTTTTTTTATATTTCTAATATTTACTTATATAATCCACTCATTTATTTTTATTAATTTCATTTGGATTATATTGTCATATTTCTGTAATGTTATTTCTTCCACAATTTTATATAAAAAAATCCATCATCTTCTGCTTTGCTTGAGCATATTAATTGATTGCTTAAATCTTATCAAGATCATGTTTCTTGACAGATGTCCTGAAGATGGAACGTACCTGGTTCCGAAACGTCGACAGTAAATAAATAAAAAAATGTTTTTTTAAAAAACTTTTTCTTTTTTATTACTTTTTGGATTCTTTGTTCGAAGCTCTACAAAATATTTACAAATACAAGACTCATCTATCATCTAATATATATGTATATATATATATATATATATATTAATGGTAGAGTCTTGGAATTGTGTATAATATATATATATATATATATATATATATATATTACAATTTTATTGAAGAAAATGTTTTTGTTGTAGTAGTGTACGTTTCGGACCCTGATTTGACCCATCTTTAATGCATACAAAGAAAATACACTAAAAAATATGAACACCAATTGATATAACGTCGATTTATATGACAATTTTTAATAAATATTAAATTAAACATATAAATAAATAATTTAAAAAAAACTCTTCAGTGAGACATGTTATTCTTTGGAAATTCCTTTGGAAAAAAATTATGTTTTTTTATTTATTATTTATTAAAAATTGTCATATAAATCGACGTTATATCAATTGGTGTTCACATTTTTTAGTGAGTTTTTTCTTTAATTTATTTGTATGCACTGAAAATGGGTCAAAACAGGAGCTGAAACGTTTGATATTACAATAAAGACATTTTTTCTTCAATATATATATATATATATATATATATATATATATATATATATATATACACGTACTATATATTATCATTGTCGTTTTGGAACTATATGCGTTCCATCTTCAGCACATCTGTCAAAAACATTTTTGTTTTTTTTGTAAAGAATGTATTTTTTTTGTTTTGTTTTTGTTAAAGATAAACAATTATGTTTAAAATAAATAAAATGAATGAATGGATTTAATAAAGCAGCAGAATTAATTATACAAGAATATAAATTAATTAAATTATTTTATATATTTGTTTTATCGTTTTTAATTTGGTTTTATATTATTTTATATTCTTATATAAATATATATATATATATATATATATATATATATATATATATAAGGGAATTAATAATTATGAATTGAGTTTATTTTTACATGGTTTAAATTTATTGATAACATTTTATTTTACTGACAAATATTTTATCAATAATTTTATTATTTCTAACAAGTTTAACTAATTTTTTTATACAATTTATATTATACACATTATAAATATAAATGAATGTTATATTTATTTGAAATTTTAATTTTGCTAAGTTCATTTTATGGAAAAATATAGCAAATGGAATAAATTAGGTTGAGAATTAATAATTTATAACATTATATATATATATATATATATATATAATGTAAAATAATGCTTTTATTAAATGAAATGAACTATTATGTGAGTCTCGAGAAAAGTTAAGATTTTATTTTAAGTTGTTTTTAATTCATAAAGAAAGTGATGTGTCTCAATTTTATTTTTTATAAATAATTTTACTTATATTGATAGTTTACACATGAATTCGATTTTTAGTACAAACAAACAAGTTATATTTGTCTAAATGAAAAATAAACAATTATTATAAAATATGCTTAGTAATAGTTTTTATTTAATTTTTTAATTTAAGACTTGTGTTTCAGGTGATAGAAGCACATACTTTTGATAGTTTTTTCGACGTTGAAACACATTTGAGAAAAAACAAAAAAAATATGTTAAGAAAAAATAATTTTCTTTATTGTACGTTTCGACACTTGATGCGTGTCATCTTTTAATAATCACTAGGTTGAAAGCATGAAACTTCAACATTTTAAAAAAAAATTTAATCTATTTTACCTATATGTGATGAAAATAAATGAATGCGCCTGGACAAATTTGTGAAATATGGAAATAAATTTATGAATTTATTAATAATTCCGGAGACTAATGCAATTGTTTGCTTTCTCCAATACAATGTATTTTAGTAATTTTAATTTTCTTCTAAATTTCACCACGTATTAAATTTCTTTATCTAAATTTATCTATCTCAAAGGAATGCACTCTAAATAATGGACAAAGCCTCTTCCTTCTGCTGTCATATGGTGGATCGTAAATTTCAAAAATCGTTTTTAACAGCCGATAAAAACAGAATATTGTAAATGCTGTCTATTTTTATAAAATCGGACATTTATATATATATATATATATACTAGCATACCCGGCCAAGCGTTGTTGCGGCTTATATTGAAATCCACCTGATTAAAATTTGAATCCGTTTACAATAATACATATAAAATCTGCCAAAAATTATTTTAAAAAATCAGCAATTTTTTTATTTATTTTTTCAATTCATCAACCTGTTCTGGTTATCAAAAATGATTTTTAGTTCCGGAATGAAAAGAAGTACCGGAACGAGCGTTTGGTGACCTGTGTGTACGAGTGTCGCATATAGACAAATTTTGCTTAAATATTTTCCACTCTTAGTTAAATTATTGAGTATTCTAATTTATCATTTTAATGGGGACATGTGATGATTAGTTTTTGGCAAAGGCAGGTTCAGTTGTTTCCAAGATACGGGGCAAAAAGGCCAAAAATGGTAATTCCGTTTTTGAGAGACGGAGCGTCCGATTTGTTAAAAAAATATATATCTTTGAATATTTCATAACAATAAAACGGCAAAAACTTTGTTTAAAACTCTGTGTATATATATCTTTGATCATTTAAAAAAAAGAGTGCGCGTAAGGTTCACACGCGATTGAAGTAAAACTTATTTGCTACTGTACAAGATGGCACTTAAGTAAAAATAAATACATCATATAACAATTTTGAATAATGTACATATTTATTAGTGTCAACCATTTATACACATTTATATAAAGATAAATTATAAATTATATATTTATAATAGCATTAAAAATATGTATAATATTTAAAAACAATAATGTAATTAATGTCATACTTCAAATATGACTTGATCGGTTTGTCATTGTAATTAGCATTTAGAAATGAACCTTCATTAGAGAAATGAGTATTGCTGATTATAACTTCTATAATATTCGTTCACACAGTGGATTATGTTAAACAACGCCTAAACAAATATTGTTTTTGCAAATTTCACTCATCATCATGTAATAATTGTGTTTGAAGAACTTTATGTAATATAATTAACATACATTCATTGATTGTTTGTATTTTTACTTGTTCGCGCGGCGAATAATCTCATTCTTTGAACAGCTGTAAATATCTGTTTCGCCTAAAAAAATTTCCATTTTAATAACTTCAAAGATTTATAGAAACTACAAATAATATAGAAATAATGTCTAATCAATGAACTTACGTTTAGTACACGGCCAAATGTTTTTGTTTATTATTATCAGAAACAGGGTAAAATATTCTTCTGATTCGGGCATTTTTCATTAAATCAAGATTTGTATACGATGTAACTTTAAAATGTTTATTTATCTATGCTTATCTATTTCCTTGTTGATATCGGTACACATGCAACGACAGATCTCTATTCACATACACGACGACTAATCACAATCGACTCGTATGGAAATGATATAATCGAGAGCGAATGACAAATCATTGGCACTGGGACTCTTATTTTATCTTATCTGCCGTAACGCAACTTCCTTTTCATTGTACGGATTTATACCCTAGTCGCGCCTGAAGAAATTTTACTTCAAAAATATATCAGCAAAGACTTGTTTAAAATCCGTGGATAGATATCTACATATATATAAAAATAAGTCGGGTTTCCTTCCTGACGATTTAACTCCAGAACGCACGAACCGATTTCGACGATGTTGCATTCGTTGGAAGGTCTCGGGCTTCCGCTCCGCAAGATTTATCTGGGAAAATTAGTGGTACATGACATCGTGCCTTAATGCAAATTGCTGGAACTTCATGCACCGTAATTAAAAATTGAGTAATGACATTAGTGAGAATTTCAGAATTATGCAACGAGCGATTCTTGCCGCAAGAATAATGATGTACAACGCACTGAATTTCATTCATTCAATCAAAAAGTGCTGTCGATTTGGGACATACCAATGATTCCGACTGGTCTTCCGTCTGACTTCAAACGATTGCAATTTCCAGTTCGCCTTGCGTTCGCAATAACAAGTCGCAAGGCCAATCGCTTAGTGTTTGCGGGATAAATTTCAAATAGATTATTTAGAAAATCATTGTTTTTCACATGGGCAGTTATACGTTGCCTGTTCACGAGTTGGAAAACCATCCGCTTTGTTGTGTTAACGTCAGACCAAAAAACAAAAAATGTGGTTTAAAACAAGATTACTTCCATGAAACGGATAATTGACGGATACACTTTCATTTACTTAGAGAAGTTCAACTAAAAACACTTCATTTTTTAATCGAAATAATTTCATTACTGTTGTGTAATAAAATCAAATTTTTTCTTTTCAAATATAAAACAAACAAAACATTTCTTCATCTCTCTCACGAAACCATCTGGTGGCGAACGGAGTTCGTCGGGTTTGCTAGTCTTTGATAAATATTTAAATAAATGAATAATTATATAAATACAATAAGATAGTTTTCCAAGAGTTTCGCATGAGTCTTTTTCCCATGACAATAATAATAAGTCTCGATGGACGAATCACATATGTATGGAGAATCCTCTGATTCTCCATGTACTATGAGTGAACAACAAGTCAACAAGAGCAAAAGGCAAAAGGCAAAATGCGAATAGCGAAATGTGAAGATAATCAATACATTTCTAAAAGTAGTTCTAAAAGGAGTCGCTCTTCGGCTCTCCTATGTGTATGTGTATGTGTATGTGCATCGTGCGGGGTACCCCCCGGTCGGTATGTTAGTATATAGTATGTGCAATGTGTAGTGTATATGCATTTATCTCTTTTCCGTTGAACCAATCACGGTTACTTCTACATTCCAGGGTTCAACCCTTACGAAAAAGGATAATAGAAGGCGGAAACAAGGATGAAACTTAAAGCGGTGCATGGCATCGTGCCTTAACTGTGGGATCGTGCCTGAAGTGTGTGCCTGAAGTGTTTCACAAAAGCAATTATAATAATATTTCTTTTTTAAAAAATTCAATCAACATATCCATTTATTGATATGGAAGCAAGTATACAATCTGCTAAAATACAAAATTAAAAAAATATTTAAAATATTTTTGAAAACAATCTAACTTTTTAATATTTAAATATATTATATTGAAAGCACTATAAAAATGACAGCTACGACAAATCTATCTTTTTTCTCTTTTCTCTGTCTAACTATATCTATTTCTGCCTATCTCATTCTCTCTCTCATCTCTCTCTCTCTCTCTCCTATCTCATTCTCTCTTCTCTCTCTCTCTCTGTCTATCCTATTTTTCTCTTTGCCTATCTCATTCTCTCTCTCAGTCTAACTCCTTCTCTCTCTGCATAGCTATCTCTTTTTCTCTCTGTTTATCTATTTCCTTCACTCTATGCCTTTCCCTTCTTTCTTTCAAGCTATCCCTGTCTCTCCTTTACTCTACCCATCTATTTCTCTCTGTCTAGCTGTCTCTTTCTCTCTCTGTCTATCGCTTTATTTCACTTCTCTATCTTTCTTATCTCTGCCTTATTAACTTCCCGTAGGGTATCGAAAATGAAAATGAAAATCGAAAATGAAAATGTTTGCTTTGTCGACGTTTTGAAGGTTTCTGAACATTTTTAAAAGGCATACCTC